CTATGTCCAAATAGAAAAGTAGAAGGGTGGAACATTTTCATCTGTCCACATATGGTTTACGACTTATCATTGAATCACATCAAAAACCTAAGGCAATAATCATGAAGTGTCTTGTGCCTGCCCAAATAAAGCTACAAAAGATGATGTTAGGCCTACAAAAATATAACTGTGTAGCGGCTTACAAGCCTGGCAACCTAATTCTACTTTTGATACGCAAAACCAGAATATTTTAACTTAGAATCATGTAACTTAGAGACAAGACTGAGGGTAGAAAAAGACTAAGTAGCCAACATAATCCTTTTTTGAGTGAGAATAGACCTCTGTTTATCCAGCCATGTTTAACCCCTTGACGCCAACGTAACACAAATATGCGGCCTTACAGAACTGGGCTTTTTTCCGTGGGGCTGCATATTTGCGTACCTGCGTACCGTGCGGCACGCTCCCAGCACAAAGGCCGCAGTGTCACTGAGAGCACCCGGGACTCCCGATTCTGGGTCAAGGTGATCAGTAACTGTACAGCCGGGTCCTCTTGTTTTTTTTTCTCTCTCCATGAATGGAGGAGAGAGATACATTGTATCTATCTAACTCCTGGCATAGAGGGGGGGGAAAAATGTTTGTGAAAAAAAAAAAAAAAGATAAATAAATATTAAAATATAAAATACCTAGATCAAGGTTTGATCTAGTTCAGTGCCAGGGTTAGTATTTGGGTCACAGTCATGGTCAAAGGTCAAGGTCAGGGTCAAAGGTCAGGATTTAAAAAAAAATTGGTATCAGTGTCAGTTAGTGTCAATGTCAGTGTCAGTGTGTTTTAGGTAAAAAAAAGACAAAAACAAAATGTGCACTATTGTTTCTGGGCTATACTATGGGTACAAACAACAAATAACATACACATATATGGTATTGCTGCAATCATCAAGAGCTGGAGAATTTATCTTGGGTTGTTCTTTGGCGGTAGGTTATAGTAGTAACAAGAAACACACAGCTAAATAAAAAAAAAATATTTTTTTTTTACTATTTTGGGCCCGTTTTCCTTTGATAATAATAAAAATTCATGAGATATCCATTACTATTTACCACCAAATGAAAGCCCAATTTGTCCTGAAACAAACGCGGTATAATCCACCTGGATGTACAAAGTAGTTGTGATGATATGTACGGTTTTACTAACACATGTCAACGTTGCAAAATTGTGCTTAGGCATTTAGATTTGTTTTACCCTTAGGCGTGACGGGGTTAAAGTCCCATATTCTTGCTTGGCACAGTAAAAGAATGCTTTCTAATGTTACTTTCAAACTTTCAACCCTTTTCGATTGAGGCCATGCCCCTGTTTTCTTTATCTCAGCTAAGTATTGAAAAATACTGCCTTCCTTTAGTCTCTCCCAGGGCTTTTTTGATCTGAAACATGGCAGGACACTGTATCACCACCTCCAACACTGACCCTGTGCTCAGTGACTTGTGACGGAAGCCGGCACCACTAGATTCTACCAGCTTCTGTGCTTACCAGTGACACTTTGCTTCTTCATGCAGCTCAGACACAGATACCTCCCTGTCCATATGACACAGAGGAGGAAGTCAACAACATCAGCTTCACAACAGTGGCTCCTCTTGCAGCCCCCAACCCCCCAATTGGTGCTGAGTACTTCTCCCTGGCTCTCAAAAGTAAGTACTAGCTACTATTCCTCAGTAGTCCCTCTATGTGCCACTTTGTACTGGGAAGGGTAGGGGGCTGAGGGGGGAGGAAGTACTCTGTACTAGGAGGGGAGTTTGGAGGCTTGGTAGTTTTGATAATTTTTGGTTGTACACTGGCCTGTGTTACCCACTCCTGAGCACTATGCCCTGTGAAACACTCACGGAGGAGCCTTGTACCCTGTGCAATATGCACTCCTGAGCACTGTACAATTGGCATTTCAGCAATGGAGAAATGATCACTGTGCTCTATGCGATACACACTCCTGAGCCCAGTGCCCTGTGAGATATGGACTCCTAAGTTTGTGGAATGTGAGTACCAGCACCTATTCTCTGAGAAAAAAAAGTCCCCTGGTCTCTCCTAATATTGTAGACTATTACAACCATTTTTATGGATATATATACTATGATATTCACTTCAACCACTCACCTTACCCCGCGACCATTGTGTCTTGTGGAATATGGATCCCCATACTCGGAACCCAGCGATCATGATGGCTGTGCAATCACATGATCACAATGTCAACAAAGCTGTTATGAATCAATATGACCCTTTACTAGTGAGCTGTGAGTGGCCCACAACTATCACATGGTTCCTGGGTCAATCACAACACCCTGTACCATGTGATTACTTGTAGCCAATCATAGATCACTAATATTCACAGCTGTCATGAATGTAACCAATTCATGACAGTTCAAAGCATTGCTGGTACAATCATCTCCATTGTACCAGCAATAAAAATATCCCTGATCACCCCCCCCCCCCCCCAGAATACTACAACGTTACTCTGGTAACATTGAACTACTCTGGTGAAAGTATTTTTTACAAATAGTAAAAAAAAAAAAAAAATAATATAAAAAAAACTTAAATAATGAATAAAAGATTATTTGCATTTTTTTTTAGTTTTCTTTTAACATGCTGCCATCAGACAGTGTCCCTGATCACTTTCACACCAATCATATCATGACTGGCGATGGTATGTAAAAAAAATAGTGACAAAAAATTTCAACTTCAAAAAACTTGCCATGCCTCTTACTAAAAATCTCTACTGTCTTCATCCCAAAAAGGTGTAATTTGGGGGATATTTGTACCATCCTGCCATTTTAAGGGCCTGGAGAAATTAGATCGGCCATCATTACATCAGGATTGATACATTTTCAAATATATATCCCATAGTTTGTGGATGATTTAACTTTCATACATACAAAGACATGTAGCAGAATACATTTTTGCCTAAATTTATGAAGAAATTAAATTTTTGTACTTTGATTTTCTGTCTTTTTATATAATAAATAATAAAAGGCCCAGTGGTGATCAAATGCCACCAAAAGAAAGCTCTATTTGTGTGAATTTTTAAAAATAAATTTCATTTGTATACAGTGTTGCATGACCGTGCAATTGCCATTTAAAGTAGCGCAGTGCTGAATAGAAAAAAAAGGCCTGATCATGAAGGGGGTAAAATCTTCCGGAGCTGAAGTGGTTAAAGAAAAAACCTGAAAGTGACAACAGTCAGTGGAAATTAGGCACTACAAATATAAAATGATTCTACGAACATTAATGCACTGTCATTAGAAAACAGCAATACATGTATACAAAATCTTGTCTACAGGTGAAGGCAACACAATGAGGCTGAGTTACCTAAGGGATTTGAAAATGTTCACACAATAAATTGTGAATATTTACTTCAAATATTTATTCATGTGTAGAAAAAGATAAACAGGAGTTTTCTTTTCAGATGATTGCAAAGCTGAAGTAAATGTTTACACATTTTATTGTGTGAATATTATCAAATCCTTTAGAAAATCAGCCTCAATGTGTTTATTTATAGATATGACTGTGTTGGTTTTTTTTCTTCTTTTGCTTATGTTTAACTTGAGTTGCCTCTTTGCGAGTTTTTTCTTTCTGGTTTTTTTTTTCTTTTGAAAGAAGAGAGACATAATATGGTGAGCACTAGGTAGCACTGCAACTGTCTTGTGCTATGTTGTCAGTTGTTTTTTTAAATATGTGGCTGACCATTCTCATGGTCAGCTGTTAACGTTTTAAAAAATAAATAGTAGGTACACCTTTATGGATTTGTAGTATTTCCTGCCTGCCAAACATGTTCAGGCATGGCAAAAAAAACTGGGTATGGCCAAAAAGTGTGTGCTGCTTCATGGCATTTGGCTTAATGAATAACAACTTTCACCCTTTGCTTTTCTATGTATTTGAAACAATAGGACCTTCACGTACACTGAAGAGAAAGTAGGAGTAAAATATGCCCAACATTGGGTACAGTGCAGGGGTGGACTGACCATTTGGAAACTCGGGCACTGCCTGAGGGCTTGGGGTCAGTAGAGGGCCCCATGAGATGCCCCTGGTATCTTTTTCATAGGCTTTTTTGAGTTTGGGCAAGGAAACAGGGGCCCCATGATCCCCTATTGCCCGGGGGCCCCATGAGTTGTCAGTCCGCCCCTGATACAGTGGCACTAATAATACCAACCAGCACTCTTGTCAGTGGCAGCAATAATAACCCTCAGCATTCATGGTCACAATAATAAAGATCACAATTCATTGGTGTCAATGGCAGCAAAAAAAAAAAAAAAACCCCTTCATTGGTGTTAGTCGCAGCAATAACAAACCTCCTTCACTGCTGTCCAATGACAGTAAAAATAATCCCCCTCCAGTCTTGATGTCTGGAACTACAGTCATGTGCAAAACTAAGTACACCCCATGGAAATTGTTTACTTTCTCAACAATTTGAAAAGGCAAACATTAGCTCTTTCAATAAACACTATCTACAGATAAAGGTGATCTCCGCGAGTAAGTAAACTGTCAGTTACAATCAATTATTTAACAAAAATATCAATAAATACAGTGTATACTGTGTAAAAAGTATATACATCATAGACTTCTATTACCCTCTTTAGCAGAAATACTTCCTGTTAGCATTTTGTATAATTGCCCACTAGTCTCTGATATTGACATAAATTTTTGACCACTTCATTTAGTTGCAAGATATTTATGGGCTTCCTTGAATGAACTACCTATTTCATATTACCCCATAAAATGTCAATGGGATTCAAATAAGGCCCTTGACTAGGGCAGGCTATAACCCTCTATTTCTTTTTTTGAGCCATTGCTAATGTGCTTCAGAAACTTATGTGAATATATATTTAATGGATAAGTTCACCTTTGTACAAAAAATAATAAATGCACATTTTTTGCAGGTAAAAAAATGAAAAAATGCAGATCGCTGGTGCCATGGAGGTCTCCTACAGACTGTCAGTATATCTGCTCACCTTAATGGGAAAGCCTGTCAGGAATAATGAATGGACTACCATGGCACTCCAGAGCGCCGTCGTAGTTCACTACAAACTACAAGCCGACAGCCGCTAAGACTGTTGGGACTTGTAGTTTCTCATTCACAGAATACCGTTTGCCTGTACTGTAATTTTTAAAAATTTGACTACTAGAGGGAGGAGAGGAGATCCTCTGCTAGCTGTCAGAGCTGGGGGGAGCGGGGGCACCCTGAATATGGGTGTAGCATGTAACATGTTGTGTAATTGTGAAATGTGAACTTATCCTTTAACGCAAAGACTATGAATTTCCCTGGCCATGAAGCAGCAAAGCAAGCCATAACATTTCTACTACCATGTTTTACAGTTGTTATGAGGTTCTTCTCCTGAAATACTACCTTCAGCAAACATGTCTACTGATACTGTGACCAAACAACTATATCTTTGATTGATCGGTTTTCCATAAGGCCTAGTCTTTGCCTATTTGTTCAATGAGAGACTGTAATCTTGCCCTAATGTCCTTTTTGTAGATGCGCTTTCTTGAAATTAAATTTTAGGGTTCTTTTTTAAGCATCAAAGGGTGAGCTCAGGGTTGCCTCCTGAGTATGGGGATACCACATGTGTGAGACTTTTTCAAAGCCTAGATGCATAGAGGGGCCCAAAATCCAAGGAGTACCTTTGGGCTTTCAAGGAGCATAAATTACGCAAATAAATAATGTAAATACATTTCCTGGCGACCTAACACATTTGTGGAGGCCTTGGAGAACCAGGACAATGGAAACACACAAATTACCCCATTTTTGAAAGCAAACACTGCAAGGTATTTCTGAAAGGTATAGTGAGTCTTTTAAAAATGGCATTGTTTGCCACAATTTTTTGGGAAATGCAGAAAGAAAATTAGAATTACACTCCAAAACACATTCTGCTACTTGTCCTGAGTATGGTGATATCACATGTGTGAGCCATTTTCACAGCCTAGGCATATACAGGGGCCCAAAATTCAAAGAACCTTCAGGCATTCTAGAGTCATAAATTATGCATTTAATTTCCTGACTACCTATCACATTTTTGGAGGCCCTGGAGAACAGGATAATATAAGATGCATGATGAGTCTTTTGAAGACTTAATTTTTTTTGCCACAAGTTTTTGGAAAATGTGGAAAGAAATGTTGGGAATGCAACAGCATGTACTATAATGTACTATATACAGTATTCTGTGGTAATATCACTTGACCAGTAGATGGCACTGTACGCTAAAGGTTACTAGTTGTGTATGTGTAAAACTTGCTGGTTCTTTATTCCTCTCTATCATCTCTTCAGGAAGTAATGAGTCTGTAACATGTCTGCTGTTATACAGTCTGCTGCAATGTGCTCTGTATGTTTGTAACTTAAGCCACACAAGTAAAGCCTGAATTCTGCTATCACTACCAGTGTCTTCTATAACACATAACCAACAAGAAATAGAAATTCATTTTAAAAATAAAGATATTTCTCACATGCAGCATGGGCATACTTAGAATTGAATCCCAAAACATATTTTAGTACTCCTCCCGAGTATGGTAATACCACAAGTGTGAGATTTTTCACTGTCTGGACTGATTATGTACAGGACATTGTATCTCGTGTATTACACAAATCAACTAATTGTGTCAAAAACAATGTGCTGTAATAGTCACCTCTATATGAGTGGTGAAGAAATATAGTGTAGCAAAGAGTCACCAATGACAGTCCCAGCTCCTGTAAGCCAAGCAAGCCCAACCTACTGGTACAAGACTGCTCTCAGCAATGCCATTGTCACTAGCCTGGTGTTTCTGCAGGAATGTAGTCAGTGGGATGTACAAGTGGGTCAGCTCAGGCCACAGGCAGAGACCTGGTCAGCAAGCAGGCAAAAGATTGGTCCAGGCTACAGGCAGAAATGTGGTCAATAAACAGGCCGGGGTTAGTACAGGCAGCAGGCAGAGGCAACACTGTACTGGTGTGGCAGTGGTCAGGGACACTGTAACTGGTGTGGTGGTGATCAAGGATGTTGCAATTGTTGTGGCAATGATCAGGGACAATATGACTAGTGTGGGAATAGTTAGGGGCAATGTGATTAGTGCAGTGATGATCATGGACTATGTAACTAGTGTGGCAGTGATCAGGAACACAATATGTAGTTTAGCAATAATCAGGGACACTGTAATTGGTATGGCTGTGATTAGGGACAATGTGACTGGTGTGGCAGTGATCAGGGACAATATGACTGGTATGGTGGTGATTAGGGACAATATGACTGGTATGGTGGTGATTAGGGACAATATGACTGGTTGGACAGTGATTAGGAACAATATGACTGGTGTGGTGATGATCATGAACACTGGAAATGGTGTGGTGGTTATCAGGAACACTGTAACTGGTGTGGTAGGGGTCAGGGACAATATGACTGGTGTGGTGTTGATCAGGGACACAGTAACTGATGTGGCAGTGATCAGGGAAAATATGACTGGTGTGGTGGTGACCAGGGACACTGTAACTGGTGTGGTGTGATCAGGGACACTGTAACTGGTGTGGTGGTGATTATGGACAATATGACTGGTGTGATGGTGATCAGGGACAATATGACTGGTGTGATGGTGATCAGGGACAATATGACTGGTGTGACCATGAATAGGGACACTGAGTGGATGACAGTGATTAGGCACACTGACTGGTGCGAGGGTGATTAGGGATACTGACTGGCAACACTGATCTGGTGACATTGTACTGCTGTGGCAGTGATCAGAGATAGATAGAGGGGGGGGGGGGGGGGGGGGTGGGGGGGGGGGGGGGGGGGGGGGGGGGGGGGGGGGGGGGGGTGATTGTTGTTTTTTTTTACACTCTGATTGCTTATAACAATGATGTTCACTGTATAAGCAATGAGTAGCACTGTTCAAAGGTTTAATTCATGAACACTTTTTTTACTAACGTGATGCTGTGATTGGTCAAACTATCACATGCTACAGGGCCGATGTAATTGACCCTGGTACCATATGATAACTGTGACCTACCACAGAGATCACACAATAGTAAGCAAGGCATCATGAATGACAGTTTTGTTTACTACTGTAACTGTGGTCGCTGTGATTGGTCACAGCAATCAAATGGTACCAGGGCTGCTCACAGTGGCTCGACACTATGATCAGTGATCCGGTGTGTCTGATGGACACATGCTTCCGGGAGGACATACAGTTACGTCCTCCCAGAACTAGAGAGCATCTGCCAGCCATTTATGTATGTTGGCTGGGCAGAGAGTGATAAAGCTGAATTCCAAGTATGCCAATTTTTGCATATTTCACATACCAGCTTGGAGATTTCCTGGAAATCAGTGTAGTAGGCATCCTTACTCTAGCTAGCTTTCAGATCCTGTGCTGAGCAGCTGTGTTGCTGTTTATTGATACAGGAGGTCACTTGCTTGGCTTGTGCTCCATTCAGAGGACACTTTCCATTTTCTCAGTGAATGCAAAGTGTTCTCTGGTTGGATTAGCTGGTGATTTTAATGTCCCTGGCCCACCTCTCCACCTCGTCCAATCAGAGAATACTTTGCATTCATTGAAAAAATTCAAAGTGTTCCCTGAATGGCCCCAATGCCATGCTAATGGCCCTCTGTGGTTATTATACAACAGGGCAGGGCACCTGTCCGGCACAGGACTCGGAAGTTAGCAGAGATCACTGAAGTAGGGGTGCCTATTACAGTGATTTACAGCTTCCATGGGGATCCCACAGGTATGACACATATATACATTCATACATACATACACATACATTGGTCCAAGCTGGACCAATGTAAACTATGTAAAAATTGCCATACCTGGAATTCATCTTCAAATCATCTAATTTCTAACGCAAAGTAGAATGTTCGGGATAGAAGACAAGAAGGACCTGAGTGACTGAGAGAACAAGTTGTGTGAAATCAGGGCTTCTGCTGTGAAATTGGAGGATGAATTGCTCCACAATGCCTGTAACTACAGAGAAGGTTGTTTTACAGCTCATGTATTGCTTGCTAGGAAATGCTTGATTGCCCTTAGGCTAGCCACTGGTTTACCTTTAAACCCCAGTACCAATTCTTTCTTAAGATTTGAGAATGGGTTAAAGGCAAAAAACACCTGCTTTTCCAACTGGAGTTCTTTGACGATCTGTGAACACCACAACTGTTAAAATGAAAACGAGAGAGCTCTTCCCAGAAGAGCTTACAGTCTAAAAAGCTAGAGATAGATTTTGTGAAGGGCAAAACAAGCCTGCTTTATTTTGTAAGGACGCAATTCTGGTAAATAAAAGGGAATTGCAGCTATCAGACCTGGAGAAAATTATACCCTCCACACCCCCTGCAGGATAAACAAACAAGCCTATGATGTAAGCAGTATGGCATTGTAGTCAAGCTGCACTGACCCATGGATTCGGCAGAGCACACGCTCACATAACTATCAGTCTATTTCCTGCTCTGATTCTGTCTGATAATTGAATTTCAGGAAATTCTATAGATCTCCCCTCCCCACACACAAGTTACTAGGCAACACATCACCGGTTCACATGTGCTAGATGCTGCCAGGCAGCAGTGTTCCTATTAATGCCTCGGTGTCTAGACATGTGTATGTGTTAATGTGCGAATTCATTGTGTGTTTATAATGCGCCTTTGCTTCTGTACACCGTTTTACATTTCTAAGTGTCTGGGATCTCAAGCTGTGCTTTGCCCATGATGGACAATGTTTCTGTCATGGGAAATCTTTCTTACCATTGTGTATGTACCGTGTTTATTTTATTACTGTGTATTTTTTATATTAATCATAATACATCTCCAAAGGTGGCCAGCTGCATGTTAATGACTTATGGGAACAAAGGTTTGTGTAGTCTCTTATTGCCGGCGTTTTGCCAGGCAGCACTAGTGTGACAATATTATTACTGTCAAAGCACGGAGATGTCATTGCTCCTCACATGAGAGACCTATATGCGCTGCTGTTGTTGATGCCCATTTGAAATTGCTGGTGGCCCAGTTGTCATGTTGACCCTTGACTTTGATTCTTGAAGTGACCTACTGTACCTGCATTGTCATAACACACCTTGTCTGAGTAAATGACTTTGAAA